TGCCTTGTTCCCACTCTGTCTGAGCCTCGGTTTCTTCCCTGCACGGATTAGGTAGAGCTGATCCCCTGGGTGATGAGCTGAGCCATGGTCAGTTCAACTGTAAATGGGCTAATAACTGTGGTCCCCTACCCCCAGGGTGTCACAGGACAACAGGACCAGTCAGGTGGCACTCAGTGGAGCCTTGTGTGTGTTGGGTGGAGCCCCAGCCCCACAGCCAGTAGGAATAGCAGAGCAGGCAGCAGAGGGGAGGTGAGAAAGTGCCACTTGGGCCCTGTGGTTCCCGCAGGTGGACCAGGACCTTTGGCCTTGTCAGACACAGCCTCTGCCTCAGCCTCATGCCTGGGCCTGCGCTGTCCTCAGCCTCCCAGGACTCAGGAAAACCGCTGTCCATCGAGCACTGCTCGGGGATCCCCATCCGTGATCCCTGAGCCTTCCCAGCGTCCTGTGGGGGCTGCCCGTGCCCACTCCACAGCTGGGGAAATCAAGGCAGGGTCCAGAGAGCGGACTGGTGGCCTCCTGGACCCAAAGCCACATGGTCTTCCCTAGGACCTGGTGGGCCACCCCCTGTCTTCCGTCTCCCCACTCTAGAGCCAGTGGGTGTGTGCCCCCCCGCCCCGCTGCTGCTCCTGCTGAGTCACCTGTCTGTCCCCTGGAGATGTAAACACCAAGCAGGCTCCAAGCAGCAGGTTGGGGCTGTCTAGTGAGGGTGACAGGGCGCTGGGTGTCACCCGGGGCATGCACGAGGCTGGCACCTGGCCCTGCAGATACCTCCCGGGCCTCCCACTGGGGCCGATAGGGCCACCCTGCTTATCAGCCTCTGCCTGCCCACTCCCGGGCCTCAGCGGACCAGTGGACTGCACCTCAGAGCCCAGCAATGGGGGACGCCCACCCGGCTGAGCGCCACACACCGCAGCAGCCCAGGGAAGTCTGCCAGAGACACTGGAAACGCCGTGTTTCCCCAGGTCATGAAGCACGCCCCAGGGCGACTCCCAACTAGACACAGTGTGTTCCAGTAAGATGACCAAACAGGCAGTGACCAACACGAGTGTGGAGAGTCAGCAGCCGGATGGGGCGTTGGACAGCTGGAGGGGGCGCTGGGCAGCCATGGAGGGTCCTGGGTGGTGGGACACAGTGCTAGGCCGCCAGAGGGGGCTGGGCAGCCAGAGGGGGGTCCTGGGCAACGGGACAGGGTGCTGGGCAGCCAGAGGGGTCCTGGGTGGTGGGACACGGTGCTAGGCCGCCAGAGGGGACTGGGCAGCCAGAGGGGGTTCTGGACAGTGGGACAGGGTGCTGGGCAGCCAGAGGGGTCCTGGGTGGTGGGACACAGTGCTAGGCCGCCAGAGGGGACTGGGCAGCCAGAGGGGGTCCTGGGCAGTGGGACGGGGCGCTGGGCAGTAGGACCCGGGGCCTCACTCTGTTCTTAACCAGCTGAGAGCTGCAGCTGGACTGGGAGTCGGCGTGGGCCATTGGTCACGTCACCACACACTCGGGCAGCTTCTGTGTCCTGCATGTGCCCTTTTGTCCCCTGGGTTGAGCTGGGGCTGCCACTGCTGCTCCTCCAGCCACCAGGCTCCTGTCTCTGGTGTCCTGCTCCATCTTAAAGCACAGGGCGGCCTGTGCTGTCCCCTCGCCCCACCTCCATGACCCACGGGAACTGGCTCTGCCAGCCTCAGGTCCCCCTCCTCCCGTGTCCCTCGCCCCCCATCGCCCCAGCCCTGCCCTGAAGTCACCTTCAGAGAGCCTCGGGGACTCCTTGTCTGAGTGTCTCTCCATGTCCTCAGGCTCTGACGCTCCCTTTCTGAGCCATGTCCCTCTGCTGCGGTCCCTGGGATGGGGGGTCTGGCTGTCACTTGCTCCTCCTCCCCCCGGGTGACGCCCCCTCCTGGAGGGCCCAGGGCTCCCCACCACACAGCCCAGCTGGGGCAGGTCAGTGTGCCCCGGGTCGGCCCATCCCTGCCCTGGACAGTGCCGTCCAGCTGGAGTGGGAGCTCTGCGGCCTCCAGGGAGGGGACACTGCCAGGCCCAGTCCCCCATCCCGAGTCCAGGCTTCAGGCAGAAGAACAGGAGCCTCAGAGAGGCAGCCCGAGCCCAGTGTCGTGGGGGAGCCTGCCCGGGCCACACAGCGAGTGGCGGAGAGCGGGACCCAGCCGGGGACCCAGCCGGGGCCGGTGCCAACAGTGCGCTCCCGGCCTGCTGCTGGCACCCCACTGGTGGCACCCCACTGGTGGCACGTCCTCAGGGGAGGGCCCCGGGGCCCTGAGGACAGCATTGTGGAAGGGCATGCACGTGGACACGTCTGCCATGGAAGGAGCGTGGGAGCAGCAGGTGCTGCCCACTGGAGCTGCGCTGCGGCCTGAGGGTGAGCGCCGGCTCCCAGCAGCCCCCACCTCACTGCACTCAGCCTCCAGCCCCAGGCTGGGGGAGAGGGACCCGCCATTGAGGTACAGGTGTGTTTGATCAACTCCCCCCGTGGACGTGGCTAGAGGACCCTCCTGCCATTAAGCCCTGGGCAGAGGGAGGCGGGAGGAAGGCTGTTAAGGAGGAAGGGTGGGCGGGGGAGATGGAAAGCCGGAAGGAGGGGGGAGGGGGAGGGGAGGGAGGGGGAGGGAGGGGGAGGGGGAGGGAGAGGGACCCCTCCCAGCAAAGCCAGCCTCGCCTATGAGGTGGTCCCCTGGCAAGGGACAGTCACTCAGGGGCTTTGGATCAGCCGACCTGTGTTTGAATCTGCCTTCCTTTCCTTACCAGCTGTGTGACCTTGGCAAGCCACTTGCCTTCTCTGACCCTCTGTTTCCTCATCATGGTGCCCCCTGGGACACAAAGCAGAGTGGGCACCTAGGGCCTGACGGAGGGAGAAGCATGGACCCGAGCCCTCTTATGTTCCTGCTGCTGTGCCCAGCCTGCCCTGTCCCGAGAAAGTCCCCTCTTCATCAGTCCTGGATACCAGCATCCTCCCCATCTCCCCCCCGACACACTTCTAGAGATATCGGGGTCTCCCTGGACCAGCGCCACCCCCATGGCATCCGTCCCCTGCTCTCTGGCTCTAACCCCAGCTGGACTTGCGAAATCTGTCCAGACCCAGAGATGGCTACGGCAGGCCCAGAAGGGCCTGGCATCCCCCAGAGCAGCTCTAGGTCCCGGCCACCCAGCCTAGATGTGGCCCTGCCTTTGCCGCAGGGACCCAGCTCCGGGGAGGGCCGGCCCCGGCATCTTGCCATGAGCCACTGTGTTTGGCTCCCCCGACTTTTCTTAGGTGCCCCCACCGCCTGCTTTTCCTTTGCTTTCCCTGGTTTCTTGAGCCGTGAAACAGCCCCTGCCCTGGGTCACTGCAGAGTCCACACTGGTTACCTCCAGAGCTCTGAGAGTTCAGTGTGACGATGATTTTTTGTTGATCCACTTGGGGCAGCTAGTTTGGGGGGATGGGGCTCTGCCCCCTTCCCACTCCTCTGTGTGGCTCTGAGATTTCTCCCCAAGCCTGGCATGGGGCTGATTTTTATTAACTTAAACTGAGTTTAATAGGTGACACTCGCCGGATGCGGTGGTGCAGACCTGTAATCCCAGCAGCTCAGGAGGCTGAGGCAGGAGGATTGCAAGTCCAAAGCCAGCCTCAGCAACTTAGCGAGGCCCTAAGTAGCTCAGCAAGACCCTGTCTCTGAATAAAATATAAAAAAGGCTAGGGGTGTGGCTCAGTGGTTAAGCACCCCTGGGTTCAATCCCTGGTACAAATAACTGAATAAAACTAACAGTGCAGAATCAAAGCAAACAGGAACAAGATGCCACTTCACACCCACCAGGATGGCTGGGACCAGTCAGTCCCACTCGCTGGGGATGACACAGAGACAGGAGCCCTCACCCACTGCTGGCAGGGATAGAGAACTGAAAACCGTCTGTCCGGAGCTTTAAGTGATTAGACACAGAACTGGCACACGACCCAGAAATTCTGCTCCTAAGAACACACGCCCGAGAAATAAAAACACATCCATCCCCAACCTGGACTTCACTGTCCTGAGCTGCACTGTGCTTAACATCCCCATAGCAGAAACCACCCAAGGGATACACTCAGTGTGGCGGGCCACAGGTGGAATATTATGTATCCATGAACAGGAACTTAGTACTGATAGCTGCTCCCGTGCCGATGAGTCTTGGAGACTCTTTGCCCAGTGAGAGAAGCCGGTCACAAAGCCTCTGGTAGGACTCCATTTGTGTGAAATGTCCAGAATAATCAAATTCACAGAGTCAGAAGTAAAGGAAGTAGACGGGTAGAGTTGCTTAGGGCTGGGGCAGGTGGCTGCCGCCCACCAGGAGCTCCCTCCAAGCATCCGGAAGCCAGCGAGCCAGAGCTCTGAGGACAAGGGGACTCTGCGAGAACACGTCAAAACTGGGGAGGGGAGGTCTGCAGGCCCTGCACTGCGACTCCCACCCCCTGTCCTCAATGGCGCGGCTCCTCCCCCTCCTCCTCACCATCTGCACCCAAAGTCCCCGCTCAGCTGGAATCCTGGGGTGGACGCAGGGAGGTCAGGCACGGCCTGCATCCCGCCCTGGCTGGGGACATGGGCCCTGCTTGGCAGAGGCCACAGGAGCCAGGGAGGAGGTGGGTGGAGTCGGGGTCAACCGTGGGGCATCCCCAGGCCACACTGGGAGCCCCAGCCCCGTGTGAGCCGACAGAGCTGGTCGGCCCCCCACCAGGCCTCTGCTGCCACTCCCCAGCCTCTGCTTCTGGCCTCCGTGACACACACCTGCCCAGGTTCATCCCTGGACAGGACTGTGAGGGGCCCGTGGCGTCAGGGTGGGCTGGGCGGAGGGCCTGGAGAGCGGGGACTTGGCACTGTATTCTCGTCTTTGTTCCTAGGGGCACCCCAAACGTGTGTGGCTCTGTCCTTACAAAACCAATGAAGACCAAGAGCAAATGCTGTGGGCAGTCGGGCCCTGGCGGCTCCCAGAGGCCTGCAGTCTGAAGGGCAGTCCCCCTAATCCCGCCCGTCGGGTCGGATCTGTTGCTCCAGATTTCTTCCCAGCAGCTGGACATCTCCAGAAAGTTCTAAGTGGGAGCTCGCTGCCTTCAGCCTGCCCTTCCCTCGTGCCCCCGCGGAGTCACAGCCCTGGGCCTTCCCTGAGCTGCATCCGCCCCTCCCGCCAGCAAGGATCCAGCAAGGAACCAGGGGCCCCTCCTGCCCCCAGGCACTGGGCTTCAGGCGGAGGGAAGAGGACACCCGAGAGGAGGAGACCCAGGTGGCCTCTGGGAAGAGTCACTGCCAGCAGGTGGGTGAGGCCAGTTGGTGGGAGGCTGAGGGCTGGATGGTGGCCGGGTGGGTGGCAGGCCCCCTCCAGAAGGCCTCTGGGGGACAGTGGTGAGAGACCAGGAGGAGGAGGTCAGCCCGTGGGAAGTCGGTGCTGGCCTGGGCGGGTGGGGAGCGCGGCAGCCGTGCAGGGGCCCTTTGCCTGCTGTGGCCCCGGGCCCCATGGCCAGCTGAGCCCAGCCTCAGAGTGCTGGCCATGACGGCTGTCCTCAGAACCGCTGAGCTTGGGGTGCTTTGTTAGGCAGCTTATGGTAAAACTGAAACAGACGGCAGAGAAATGCAAGAAAGAACCTTCTAGAATAAAGGAACACAGTCAAAGGTTATAAAATGTCTTGGGGCCTAGCTCAGATGTACCCGAGGTCCAGAGACTGTTCCCTAAAACTTCATGTTTAGAATTGATTCCTCCCCCTGGGCCTCCTGCGTGACACGGGCCTTCAGTGCGGGGTCCAGGCAGTTGGGAGCGGGGACAGGGTTTGGAAGCCTCTCCACCCTGGCTGGGGACTCGGGACATGAGGTCTGGGCCCCTCCTGCAGATGGGTCAGCATGGTCGTTCCGGGGGTGGTAGTGTCCCCTATTGCCTCACGCCTTCAGAGCTAGCCTGGGGACAGTGTGTGAGAGCATTGGGCCGGGCAGGTGCGGAGGTGGCCCTTCTCAACCTCTGACCCTGGTGAGCATCAGTGTGCTGTCAGCTCCAGGCCCCCGGGCACCCTGGGCTGCCGAGGAGCCACACCCTGGGCAAGGACAGCGTGCCAGAGCTGCTCTAGGACCAGGGACACGGCCGCCACACCAGGGGCACCTGACCTTGCAGCTCGGCCCTGCATGGCACAGGGCACGGGAGCCAGGGAGGAGGCGGGCGGGCTCGAGGGGAGCAAGTGGGCTTGTCACTTGTAGAGGGTGCCCAGGGTGCCTGCCGGGGTGGGGGGTGGGCCTAGAAAGAAGGCCAGAGGGCGAGCCACAGGGAAGCTGGACCAGGGGAGCGGGGGGAGGAGCCCCCTGGCTGGAGGGGACTGTGGCGGAAGGGCCAGCGGGCATGGGGCACCGCCTGGGGCTGGGCGCAGGGAGGCCGCGGGGGCCACTGCGGGGCAGGAGGCCGGATTCTGCGAGCCGACTCACTGCTCACAGGGCCTGTGGCCGCTGCACACGTGGGTGACAGGCCAGGAGCCAGGGACAGGAGTTTGTTTGGAAGGTGGGTGGGACACAAGCTGGGACAGGGAGAGGGGACCTGGTGGCCCAGAGCTTTCCCGCCTGAGCACCCGGAGCAGGAATGTGCCTCTCGGGTAATTGGGAGATCCACGTTCCCTCCTGACCCGTGGCCAAGCGCAGCGTCGGGCGGCCCGGGCACCTGGGCCCAGGAGGATGGGTGGCCTGGGACAGCACCAGGTGGTCAGCCAGGCCTGCTGCACTGCTGCCAACCTCCGCCTCCCTCCAGGACTGGCCTGGAGACCCTCGGCAGGCTGCGGCAGCTGCAGGGAGGGTGCCACGGCCCCTCACCCTGCCTGGAAGCCGAGCTGTTCCCCCCGCCCGGGGTCCGGCACCCAGAGGGCATGTGACCTGTGGGTTCCGAGTGCAGCATCTGCCACCCACTGACCCGCGTGGCTGGCTCTTCAGGGGAATGGCCTGGGCGCTGGGGAACCCAGCTCGGGCTCAGGCTGGCCTGGACTCGGCCTAGGAAAGGCCCGTGGGCCCTGCTGGGGAAGGGGTCCTCGTCTGGCAGGAGGGGCAGAGGCTGGCAGAGTGGGTGAGAAGGTGCCCCTGGAGTCTCCTGGAGGGCCCGACAATGCTGTGGGTGGACACACTGCTGCCTCCAGGGTCCTGGGGGACAGCTTCGCTCCCCTTCAGGCCGCAGGCTCCAATTTTGACCATATTTGCCGCAGAGCTGTGTGGCCCCCTGGGCCGTGGTATAAATAACAGTTATTTGCTCTGCCTCCCAGTGAAGCAGCCTCCAAGGAGCCCGCGGCTCCTGTGCGCGGCAGTGCAGTTTGGGGACATGGCCCTCTGCAGGAGGCTGTGTGGGGCTCCGCTAGGCTGGGAGGGTTCTGGAAGTTTTGACTCATCTGTGGGATGCTGGGGACAAGGGTGTGGGTGTCCCTCTGCCCAAGGCGGCCTACAGAGTGAATCGTCGGCCTCCAGAAACTAAGGGTGGGCCTTGACCTGCCTCTCTCCACCAGTGGTCCCCGAGGCCGCTGCCTGAGCTCCCACCGCTGTGCCCGGGTTTCTCCTGGGAGCCATCCTCCTTGCTCCCAGCCCGAGTCTCGTGGGTCCAGCTCTACACTGGAGTAGGTGTGTGACCCTGAGCTGGTGAACAAGGACACTGCATGCTACCAGCCTCAGAGACTGGCTTAGGAATGGACACACCGCCCTGTAGAGACAACGGGACAGGCTCTTTCCACAGACATTCACCTGGAGCCTGCAGCCCGAAGCAGCTGGGACCACCTCCTGGAGGGTGAGCAAGGAACAGCATAGGAGGCAGCCATAGAGGAGGCAGAGAAATCAAGTCCTGAGAAGTGTTGAGGCTGCTGGATCCAGCTGTTCCTGAAGTGCACCTATGAGAGGGCCAGTCATCTTTTTTCATTAGACTGGTGGACTGGTCCTGACTAAATCATGACCAAGACTCTGTTATGTCACAGTGTTAGGTAGAACTCCATCATGACGTGCTCCAACCAGGTCTGCAGTTTGGGTGTCTCTCAAGCTCCGGGGAAGGATCCATTTACAGACCCATTGCCTCGGCAGGTCATGGTCCCTACAGGCCGCCCACCTTCCTTCTTATGCTTCTCACATGGCCCTTCAGAAAAGACCTCTCCATTCTCAGCCTCCCTCTTGCTGCCTCCAGCTGGAGATGCCGGCACCCACCAGCATGACCCAGAACACTCTTTAAGGTCCATAACCTCAATCACATTTGCAAAGTCCCATTTGCCATGTAACTTATTCACAAGTTCCAGAAATTAGGACATAAATGTCTTGGGGGGCATTCTCCACACCATTGCAGTCTGACTTGGGCTTTCTGTCATCTGCAACAGAAAGGCTTTTGATTGGTTTGCTCTCTTTCTGGAGATTGGTTGGACTTGATTGGTTCACATAGTTGAAATCTAGCATCAGGAGTGGCTGGATCCAGCAGCTCAAACACTGTCTTAAAGACTGGATTCTCACCATTTCTCGCCTATTATGTTGTTTGGGGACTTGGGCTCCACAGATGGCCCCTAGCTTCCACCTTCTGGATTAGTCTACAGGAAAGAAGATGTGCCCCTTTCCATTGGACCCTAAAACAAAGTTAATCTCCTTTTTTCTTGCAGGAAAGTCTATTTCTGTTCTTAAGCTCCTCACCTGGGTCAGACTCTGATGCTCCCCTTGATAGTCTCAGAATCACTAAGTATTTCCCCCGAGTGACTGTACATTGAGCCCAAGGATTGCCCTTTGTTCCTGCTGTGTGCGGGTGACAGTCGTGACAGTCGGGAGGGGGCAGTGGGAGAAGTGGGTGTGGCCACGGTGGGGCCTGTGAAGGGGGGGTGACAGGCGGGGCCAGTGGGCGGGGCCGCACTGGGGCCACCTACCTTGGAAGAGCTGGCAGGGAGGCGACAGCCTGTGTCCACCCCTGGAGCGAGACCCGCTGGGCCGGGAGGAGGTGGGAGCAGAGGCCCAGCTGGGGCGCGTGGTCTCCCGCCGCCCTGCGAGCCGGAAACCCGCGGAGGCTGAGGACAAGCAAATTTCTGGGGTTTGGGCACTCCCCCGGGAGCCCCCAGCACGCAGGGTCACACGTGCAGTGGGTGGCTCTCACTTCCTCCCGGGAACAGCGCCACCGCCGCCTTGAGGTTTCCACCTCCGCCGGCTCCGTGCCCGCTGCCCCTCCCCGAGGAGGGACCCCGGTTGTTCTTAGGAGGAGCCGGTTGCCCGGTCGGCTCCGGGTGGGCAGGGCGGACAGTCCCCCTGGGCGGGCCCCTTCACGCCCTTCCCGCCGGCCCCTGAGCCCCGCTGTCCCCTCCTGCTGCTCAGGGACTGGCCGGCTCCCTCTCCTGGGGCCGCGGTGGGACCCACAGCATCAAGTGCTGTGGGTGCGCTCCTCCTCCCCAGGCCCAGCTGCCCCGCTGGCTGCGGAGGTCGTGTCCTTAGCAGGAGCACAGCTTCTCTTCCTGCTTGGTGCCGGGCTCCTGGAGCCAGTGGAGTGTGCCTCCTGACCTGTCCCCTGGGAGGGGGCGGGACTCGTGTCCAGTGGGCTGAATGTCTGGCAGGATGGCTGGTCAGTGTGGCCAGGCTCCCCAGAGGGTCACGGCCCTGCTCAGGGGGGCACACGGGGGCTGGGGAGCACCCTGGGGCAGGGGGCATCACTTGCTTGATTCTTCCCCCCAGTTTGTGATCCAGCTGGACCTCGGCCTCTGGATGGTTTCCCTGTCATTTCAGGGGCCACGTATGTCCCTTGTCAGCCTGGGAGAGCGTTGTGGGGGGTCCCCTTCCCCCAGCTTTGCTCTCTCCTGCTCGTGCCTGTCACCCCCACTAGGACCTGGTGCCTGCTCAAGGTCGGCCTGCTCTGGACTGGGGAGGTGGGAGGGGGCCCCCATGACCCCTCTCCATCTGCCTCACCCCTCCTGTCCCTGCCCTCCTTCCTCCCCACCCCCTCAGGGAGAAGGACCCTGGGCAGGAATGGGGACAGTAGCCTGCGGGGTGGGTGGAGTCGAGACTGGGCAAGAGTGGGTCCTGCTGTGGGGTGAGGGCTGCCTTACAGCCCCACCAGCCCCATCCTCCCCCTCCAGATGAGCCCAGCCCCTCGTCCCATCATCCCCCACTGAGCTCCTGCCCAGTGCAGGGTCCTGGTGGCAAAGCCAGAGCGCACTGTCCTTGCTGGAATGACTGATTCAGCCTGATACGGGCCGCAGCCAGTGCTGAGCCCTCCTGGCTGTGCTGTCCCCACCAGCTGGGCACTCCTCTCCCCCACCTGCTGCAGGCTCCCTTCTCTCTCCTCTGTGGCTCTCGTCACACTCACACTGCCGTCCCTCGTGTGCCCCTACCTGATACAGCGATACCACTCGTATGTCCGTCACTGCTGGGCCCCATGGATGCCAAAGCTTGGGGCGGGCATCTGCCTGCCATTTGCTGCCCTCTGCCCTCTGCCCTCTGCCCAGGACCTAGAGAAGAGCCTGCCACCTGCTCGCTGCTCGGCAGGTGTCCCTGAGCACTGCACCCCGTCAGCTCCCGGCTGTGGGTTGTCCTCCTGCTGCAGGGGACACATCTGGCTTTTGTGGGGCTTGATGTTCAGACAAATTTGGGCCCCATCTTTAAGAACCTGGAGATGGAGTTCTGTACAAAGCCAGCCTGGGGCCTTGTGCCTCAGCTGAAGGTAAACCCGCTCCAGCTGAGCGGAACCACGTCCCAGGGACGGAACCGCGTGCAGAGGAGCCGGCTGCAGACCTGGGGAGAAGGGCGAGAGGGTCTGCACCACAGCTTGGCGGGGATCAAGGAGTGCTACAGAACCCAGGGCCCAGCCAGGAAGTGACGTGAGGGACACGTGTGGCCCTGCTTTCCCAGGGATCTGGGAAGAGAGCCAGAGAGATGACCGGTTCCAGCAGGACTGAACCCTCTGCCAGCCGGTGCTTTCCCACTCGTTGCTGGCCCCCACACCCCCTGTTGGCCACCAGGAATGTGTCACCGCAGTCTTGGGGTCCCTGGGAAGGCTCCTCAGGCCTGGCTGGAAGCTTCCTTCCTCCCGGGCCCTGGGTGGGAACCTGCCCTCCTGCAGCCACCGCCAGCCCCTTGCTTCACAGATGAGGCCGGGACAGGCTCCTGGGCCTGGGCCAGCAGGCTGGTGCTGCCCTCGGTGACTTGAGGACACAGGCCTGGATCCAGCTGCTGCACAGACTGCTCCTCCACCAGCTGCCTAAACCCTGTCCCTGGGGAAGGGTGCCCTGGTCCCAGCCTGCCTGGGATCCGGGCAGCCCTCTTCGAGGCGGGTAGAGCCAGTGCCTGCGACCTTCTCTCTGGCGCTCAGTGGCCCCTGGCTGGAGGAGGAAACCACAGCTCAGGTGGGTGCCTGACGTGCCAGGACCACTCAGCTACACCCTGGCATAGCTGCCACCAGAGCCCATGTCTCTCTGCTCTAGAAACTGCTGGGAACAAGGCCTGTCCTCTTGAGTGGTGCCCGCGCTGGCCCTGGGCGTGGTGGGCACCACAAGCTTCATGCTGGACCAGTGGCTGAGGTGCACGTATGAGCCCCCTCCCCTGCGAGGTGGGCCAGGGGGAGGCACTGCTCATGCCTCTGCATGGTTCTGGTATCCTGCATAGCTGGGCAGGCAGCGGGTGTCCATTAAGTGCATCTGGAGTGAACTGAATAAACAGGCGCCCAAGCTTTGGGGACCGTCATACTTTGCACTGTAGTTTCTTCCCAGATCAGTGCCCAGGCCAAGCACAGGGCCTGGCCCTCAGGGGGTGCTGAAAAGTTCTCTGAGATTCATGGTGACTTATCACAGACCTTGCCTTCAAGCCAGTAAGCCTGGGGTTTCCCAGCTTGTGGGGGCCTCTCCTTCTGGCTTCCCAGCTCTCCACGGCCCTCTGGGGCTCTTCCCTGCCTCAGGGCCTTTGCTCTCGCTGTCCCCCTCTGGACATCTCCTGGGCTGGCTGCTCTCCTCCCTAAAGGTGGCTTCAGCTCAGGCACCTGCAGAGGCTTCCTGGGCTGCTCTTAGCATGGCGCCCAGAGCTCCCTCTGCCTCTCCCAAACACCTCCCCGGAGCTCCCTCTGCCTCTCGCGAACACCTCCCCGGCTTGTTGGGGCTCTTTATTTCTTTTCTTGAGTTTTGCCTCCAAGGCCTTCAGAATGGAGGAGGGAGGGAGGGGCCCAGATGCCCAGAGAAAAACAAAGAGGAAGGAGAAAGCAGAGAGGGAGGGAGGGAAGAGAGAGAGAGAGAGAGAGAGAGAGAGAGAGAGATAGATATGAAGAAATGGAGAGACCAGAGGCAGAGACAGGAACAGAAACTGAAAGGGAAAGGGAGGAAATGGAGAAAGAGTGGTGGGAGTGAGGGGAGGGGAGGAGGAGGCGGCGGAGTCTCCCTTGGGGAGCGGGGACTGGTCGGGGTTGATGGCGGTGGCTGGGGTTGATGGCGGTGGCTGGTGGCCGTGGTGCAGCCTTGGCCTGCGCTGGAAGGGGGAGTGTGCAGGCCTTGGGGAAGGTCTCCTTGGGAAGCCCGGGAGCACGGAGTACCCCAGAGGAGCCCGGCTAAGGCAGATCCACAACGTGCCCTGGCTCTGCAGCCCCGTCAAGGCCATGAGAGACAGGAACGACGGGAACCGTCCCTGGTGGCAGTGTGATGCGGGATCCTGGAGCAGAGGACTGGAGGGGCTCGGTGGCAAGGTGTAATAGGGCCGTGTGGCCTGGCGAGCTCTTCCATGCACCGATCCCCATCCCTCGGTGTCTGCAGACAAACCCTGCAAGGCCCCCGTCCTGTGTTTGAGGAGGAGGAAGGCACCCCACACCTGGCTTCCCTGTGCCAAGAGGAAAGGGGCCAACCTAAGGGGACACTTCCTGTGGCCCCTGCGGGCACATGCCTCTGCCCCCTTCTCCTGGCACCGGCCTGTGCAGGCACACAGGGGCTCAGCTGGTGGGGGGGTTTCCTGGGAGCCTGCTGCATGGGGGGGTGGCATCCATCCTCCCAAAGTGAAGGACACCGGAACCTAACCCCGTGCCACCTGTGGTGCGTTAGGAGATTTTTCTCATGTTTATCACAAAGCTCTCTCTCTCTCTCTCTAAAAATTCTTCAAGTAATAAAAGGCCCTGCGTGCACATGCCTGCTGCCACTGCCCGCTGGGGCTGCACCTCCTGCTGGGTCTGCACTCCTGAGTTGGCAGCTCTGTGGGCAGCACCCTGTGGGCAGCACCCTGTGGGCAGCACCCTGTGGGCACCGTTAGCCAGCTTGTGCCGTCGCAGGGCTTCGATTTTCCACCTACAACACATTGGGGTGCACAGATGAGGGTTGAGGGTGGGACCCGCCATGGGACGGAGCAGCCCACAGGCCTCTGTCCTGCACCGCCCGTCCCTGTCCCTGGTGCCTTCAAGTGGAAACCCCCGAGGACCCCAAGAGGGAGCAGGTGGGCGAGGGGGAGGAGGGCGGGGGTGCCCTGGGAGGCGCAATCTGCCACTGTCCTAGAGATCCCCAGGCTCCTCTCACAGGAGTCCTGGTCACCATGGCTCAGTCGGCCATGGTGTGTAGCCTGAGCCCCAGGGGTGCTCAGAAGGGCCCTGAACTTGGGTGATGCTCTCCTGGCCCCGTCCTGAAATCCTTAGTGACTCTCCAGTGAGGGACTGTGCGTCCCCTTGTCCTCAGGCCTCACAAAGCCACCGCCAACACCCAGAGAGCCCTTGCCCTGGGCTGGCCGTCCTGACAGCCTCTCCCTGCACCGTCTGTGAGAGGCGCCTGCCGTCACCCACCTGACTCAGGCGGGGACACTGAGGCTTGGGAGCGGGCTCCTGACTCAGGCCCCACCTGCGTGGACCGTCATATCTGGCCCATCCCCCTTTCTCTCAAAACTAAGATCAGAGAGGACTCGCTGGAGGGGACCCTACAGAGCCAGGTTCCCAGCTGTCCCAGCCAGGACCAAGGCCACCAGTCTGTGAGTGCAGAGGCCCGTGGGCCTGGCGGAACTCCTAGCGACACCCTCATCTCCCCTGGGGCTGAGGGACCTGTCTCAGGCAGGGGTGAAGAGAGCAGCCACTTCCTGTCACCAGAGAAGTAGGCTGGCCCTCTCACGACCTGCCTCTATATTTAGATCTGGCCCCCTGGCTGGGTGTGGCTGGCCTGCGGCTGCTTCCGCCCCAGGAGGGAAGTTTCCTCCTGTCTCCCCCAGCCCTCGGGGCCAGCGGGGCCACTGAACAGGGTCCCTGGCTTCCCTGTGGCCACTGTCCCCTGAGCCCCAGGCCAGACAGGGCTCCTGGCCGCATGGGGCTGCGCTGTGGTGTTCTGAGGTTCACCCTGGTGTCACGCAAGGAGAAGCAGGGCCTGGCCAGCTGGAGGTGGTCTGCAATGGTCCAGAGCAGGGGCCCTGCCCTGGAGGCCGTTCCTCTCTCCAGGGGACATTGGGCAGTGTGGGGGAGGAGCCACCAGCATCCAGCAGGGAGGCCAGGGGTGGGAGCTTGGTCCAGGGGAGGGGGGAGGTGACCAGGTGGTGGTGTGCAAGAGGGGGGTGGGGACCTGGGTGGGTCCTGAAGGGAAGCAGCAGCCAGGATAGGGGACTGCTGGGAAGGAGGGTGAGGGGTGAGCTTGGGAAGAGGGTGACAGTGAGCAGGGGCTTTGGTGACCAGCGGCCCCTGGGAAGACCCAAAGACCACTGTAGAGGAGGGAGCTCTGAGGTGGGGCGGGGACAGCTTCTGCATCTGAGACCCAGCACAGGGCAGGGTGGACGGCAGAGGTGGGCATGTGGGCAGAGGGGAAGTGGGCTGGCCAGAGGCCGCAGGGCTCCGCAGGAGGGGCCTGGAAGAGAGGCAGCAAGAGCCCCGCACAGGACACCCAGAGGCCGCACTGGGTCTGACCTGGCTGCTAACTGGCCGGGACTTAGAAGAAATCAGTTTTGAGGCTCCGTCTCCGCCCCTGTGTAGTAGGTCAAGGCTGCCTCTGAGCCCAAGGGCTTCGTGCAGGGCCAGAGGAGGGGTGTGGGGCCCCAGGCGTGTGCAGGACGGATAAGTGACTTGGCATTCTGCTGACTGTCCTGGGGCACCCCAGGGCTACGAGCCTGAGTCCAAGGACAGGAGACTCTGAGGCCCCAGCAGGGATCCCACCCACTGGGGTTCCAGCCCCATGCTCAGCAGCGCCCCCTGTGGTAGCCAGAAGCCACGCGGCCGTGGTGGAGAAGGCTTGGGGTCCTTGATGGATTCAAAGTGAGTCGGAGGCCAGAGGGAGGTCCTGGGCTCTCTGTGATGTAGACCGCAGACACCAAGCGTCCAGGGAGGAGGCACTGGTCACCAGGACCGCAGGTTGCCGGTCTATGGACTGGGCAGGGCCTCCCAGGACAGCCTGGTGGGGGCCGTCGCTGACGCGGGGAGGGGCGGGCGGGCTTGGCGCCTGACTTGCTTGCTGCTCAGGAACAGAAGCAATTCCTTTGGTCCCGCCTGTCCTTGTCCCGGGTCTCGGGGCACTGTGGTTTGTCTGGTGCAGGCTCCCTGACCCCAAGACAGCGTGGCCCGGGCTGGCAGGCGCTGGAGAAGCGCAGGTGGAGGGAAGGCCTTCCACGGCTTCCCGGTTTCGGACCCCTCCCTTCCTGCTCAGAAGGCCCTCAGGTGGCCCTGCCAGCTGTCAGCCTGAGGGACCATCCTAGAGACCACTTGAGGAACAATCCAAGGAGCTGAACTCGGAGCTCACCCACAAAGAAACAGAGACAGTAAACAGTTGCCCAGGGACCCACAGCCTTGCGGGCAAGGAAAGAAATGCAGACCGAGGCCCTCCCTGGTGCCCGCCGGTCAGTCGGAGGAAAACATAGATCCCAGAGTGCGCAGGGGCGGGAGAGCAGGCTGACTTGAAGATGTCTCTCTGCATAAGAGCAGCACTAGGAAATTTCACCTCCAGGCCAGAGTGGGGCCAGCATAGCCTCAGGGTCAGCAGAGTTCCTCCCGTCACTGAGAAGTGGGAGGAGGAAGAAATAAGAAGCCCAGATGCCCCGTGCGGCGTCCTGAGTGCCCACACGGTGGGAAGTGCTTAACTCTGTTTCCAGCATTTGTAGATTGTGTCCTTGCTGAGTGACCAGCCTTTCCTCCTCTGCCACTCAGGTGGAAGGTGGCAGGGCTGGGTTAAAGCCCAGGCAGCCCCACCTGCAGCCTGGCGCTCCTCCCTCCCCGCTGTTCCTGGGTAACCTGAAGGAGTTGTCCCCTGAAGAGGAGGTGACAGCAGCCCTGTGGGGGTGTGGCTTCTAGGATGCAACCCCAGAGGTTGCCTGGCAGTGAATGCAGGCCGGCCGCCCAGCAGGCATGCCCCGGCCTGTGGTCTGGAATGTGGACTCGCCACGGGAGACCTGCCGTTGGTGGCCTGGCCAGACCCGGCTCTGGACCTGGGCAGTGCGCTCTCTCTTTGCTCAAGGACTGAGTCCTCAGCCTGCGGCTGCCTGAATGGTAGCTGGCCGCTGGCCTGATGCCCCAGCTCTCAGGGCTTCCCTCTGGCCAGAGTCCCAGGGCCCTCGAGGGGGTGAGTGCCGGAGGGAGAGAGGCCGCTCCGGCACCGAGGGAGGCCCGGAGGCCGCAGCAGTGCATTCTGAAGATGCCCTACTTGGGCCAGAGCTTGGGGATCGCTGGCTCCAGAGAAGGGGCAGGAGGGGACCACCCTGTGGCACAAAGGCCGATGGGAACTCTCAGGGGCACGTGACTCTGGGTCTTAGGAACGCACCTC